TTTTAAATTTACATATTTTAGAATCAGTTCCTTTCCTGGTAATTGCATTTCTAAATGAAATCATTATGAGTAGTGAGTGCTGAGCAGGCCGTTTTACTATAAACAAATTTTAGGAATTGATAACAACTTTGAAAAATATATTGTTGCACATTCGGTCACAGTCGGAAAAATGTTCATAGTATGTTGTACTGTTGCTTGCAACTAACGATGAACAGTTGCTCATAAAAACATTCACACGATTAGAATATTCAATTATTAGTGAGCTTAAGATCTACAACGCGAACTTACGACGCGGACGTCACATTAAACAAGTTTTATTTTAAAACAATGGCAAATACCATTAAAATATTTTTATCACAGTAAATAAAATGAAATTATACTGGAAAAAATGTACAACATAACAGAGGCTAGCAATATATTAAGAAGATATTTTTTATCATAAGTTTTTACGACTTCTATGACGATGAATCTTTGCAAATATCACGTCGTCTCGGATGGTAGTTTTGGCGGGAAAATGTGCATTCGTAACAATAGTCTATAAAGCCTGGTTTCTATCATTTCGTATGGCTGTTAACGTGTCATAACAGTGTCACAAATCTCGCAGAAATAAACTGTGACCACTCTGACTAGGCTTATACTCGAAAACTATGCTTAGGTAAGCACGTCCGCGTCACAAATTCGCGTTGTAGATCGTAAGCTCCCTATTGTCACGAACAACAACACTTAATTGTTGTTTCCCATGTGTACAATAATAAGTAACAAAACTTTGTGTTGGGCTAGAGACCTACTGGAAACCTTTACGGACTTTTTAATGAGAATAGAGAATGTTTTATCTGCAACTGTTCACCCTTATTTGCAACCGACGGTATTTGACAGCATAAAATTGCCTGTGGCTGTGATAACTGATATAAATAAAATACAGTCTGGTTATACTGACTTGAGCGTGTCATGACAAACTCTTTATTGGAAAATTGTGAAGAAATAGTCGAATATAGAGGGTTGAATATCATACTTCAACTTGTATAGCTACAGTATCATTGGTACATAGCGTTGTGAAGACAAGCCTTTGCTTACCTTTCGCTTCAGGAGTCTTTTCCATGCTTCTCTACGCTTTCCCAGGTGAACTTCTCTTTCCTCAGCATTCTCCTTGAGCAAACGTTGTCGTCTTCGTTCCCTCCTTTTCGCTAGACGCTCAGCTTTCTTGTCGTTTCCTTGTCGCTCTTCGTTTGGCTCTATATCTTTTCAATTGGTATTTGATACCGTAATTGTTTTGTTAAACTTTTTATAGAACAAATTGCTTTGAAAGCTGTCAAAGTTTTTGCAAATGTACAAAATACTGTGGTGCAAAAAGCAAAATATTTTCATGAAGTATCTGTCAGTTGAAGTCATCAAATTTTAAATTTGACCAATCAGTGTTCACTATCCATGACAGTCCGCGATCTGAGATCAGTGAGGATGACCACCCACTCAAGTTCGTTGGTCACGCCCGCGATATTTGATGAACTTTAGACTTGGCTAATGCTTTCGTTTCCTCGGGGATTATTAGACGTAATTTGCTGAACTGGCTAATTAATAATTCATATTTAGTGTTTTATGAAATTAATAAGACCTTCAACCCTCGAAATTCGCCTCGGCACTCGGCAATTGCCGACGCAAATGCCGAGGCAAGTCACGATTTTTCATGGTTTGCCTCGGCAAAAAAATGCCAAGGCAATTACATCCTTTGTACCTTAATTTACATACTACAGCGTCCGTTCGTTTTTTTGCTTAAATTTACAAACTACAGTGTTCGTTTTTGTACCACTTTTTTGTTCGAATTGTTGTCAGACGTTGGGTGAACAACAGAAGATTACAAAATTTTATTATTAAATTTGAGCTTTTCAGCGTCGGTCGGCTTCGGCTGAAATAAAGAACAATCTTGATGGTTTAAAGACAGCACGTCGAGAAACTTTGTTTTATCTTTTAGACTGTCGCGTGATTACCGTCAAATTTATTCTTTCATACTATTTGTTGTTAATTACCACTAACTTTTTAAAAACATTTTGAATCAGGAATTTGTAAAATAACAACAAATTGTCAAACGTCAGATTCTACGCTCGGTATAATATTTGTTTACAATAATTTCCATACTTTAATTACAATTGCCGACGTGAATGCCGAAGGGTGCCGAAGTAATTTAAGGTGATTTTATTGCGTGCCTCGGCAAAAAATATTGCCGAGGCAAACTCGAAAATTATCGAAAGACTTCAGCAATTGTTTGCCGAAGCAAAAATAGTTGAATTTCGAGGGTTGACCTTTCTTTTCCATGCCATATTTATCTGGAAATTCATAAATGTGATTAGGGATTCCATTAGCCATAAGAGTATCCTTCTGAGCTGTAGTGCGGTGTGTGTTCCATATTGTATGCCGGAATCCATTGAGTTCTCTCCGCATGACTGGGATCATTATGTATGCAAGGATTGAACTATAAATTGTAAATATCAATTATAATAGTGTTTATAAAACAATTTTCTATGTCAACTGCTTACAATTCTAATCATGCTATTTTTTGTGCATGCCATTAGTTTCTATTTTTCATACTGGTCTGTTTAATTATTTGGGTCATAGTAGCATTCCTCCTTCAGCCAATTCAAACCAACTTTAAAGTACTTTTCTAGTCTATCATGTAGCTCCCTCCACCATCGTTCTATCAAAAAATTCATTGCACATCACAATTTAAAAAATGTATTTGTCTTATTTTCATTATTAAGAACAACAGGGTAATCCGATTGAATACAAACTTGATTAGATGGTGAAGGTCCAAACAATATAGACTCTGTTGGGTCACTAAGGTCTCCTTGCTTGTGTTGAAGATATGCATGGATTGTACTCATTGTGGTTGTTTCAGTGCCTTTATCCAAGCGGAGGTAATGCTGCAGAGTACGACTCTCTAGTAATGCTTCTCAGGCTTTCTGGCATCCTCGTGTAGAAAAGTAGGACAAAAGCAGGACTAGAATTTTAAGAAAATTAGGAATAAAGTAGGAAAATGTGTAGAAAAGTAGGACAAAATTAGGAGTTTTGGAAATGCAAATAACACAAAAATATACAAAATTGGCCCCCTATGATATATGTGGTAAGGAGTAGACCATTAGATATCTGATGGGGAAGTTGTATGAATTTTTGGTGCTCAATATTTTTATGTACTCATTCATCTATGCAGGATTTTTTTCTCAAAACTTTTAAATTGCATTGCTATAAAAGCTAAGGTATCTGCTCTGCAGCAACGCAATTCAAGTGCAATGCATGTATTGGGCTACACAATGCACCAATCCACACTGCGGCAGGAGCATATATCAGGGCCGTAGGAAGCTCTTTTTAATTAATTGGGGGCTGAAAGCGAGGGCCGAAGGCCCGAGGAAATTTTTAAATTTAGAGTCTCTGAAATGCCATTTCCTGGACTTTGGGGAAGAATTGACAGAATTCTAGTGGTCAGAAAACACTGTTTTAGTATGTCGAAATTTACAATTTAGTAGTACTAAATGGGCGAAGGCGTATTTATTTAACTATATATTGGATAAGTTGCAGGAAAGTATGGGTATATTGGATAAGTTGCAGGAAAGTATGGGTAATATCTTCATTCTTTGCAGTTTGTCATGGATTAAATGATAAAAGTCTGCATGATTTTGAAAAAAAAGATAATTAGCAAATTATTCCCCCCGGTTGCTACGGCCCTGCATATATGATGCTTGATTAACAAGGGGGGGGGGGGGGAGTTGAATATTTGGAATATCTAGATCGTCGGAAATGGCACTTTTAGAGTCTTCATTAATTATGATTCTGGAGAGGCTATGAAATTTTATACTCGGAAAATGTACTTTTTCTCCTGAGATCTTATCATCTGGGACACAAATAGGGAATAAAAATTACGAGTCCTATAGACCTAATTACGAGAGCTATAACATACTGATTCCTCAAGCTGTCTTAAAAAAGTAGGATTTTATGAGAAAAAGTAGGAAAAAGTAGGAAAATCAAGCAATTTTTAATTTATGAGAAAAAGTAGGAAAAAGTAGGAAAAGTAGGAAAGTTGAAGAAAAGTAGGAAAAAGTAGGAAAAAGTAGGAAAAGTAGGATGGCAAGAAAGCCTGGCTTCTATGCACCACTTTCCTATAAAGATTGGATTAGAGTTTGATGAAGTAGGATGGCAAGAAAGCCTGGCTTCTATGCACCACTTTCCTATAAAGATTGGATTAGAGTTTGATGTCCATATTTTAAGCCACATCAATTTACGGCTGGCGGTATCAACACAGGCATAAATTGCTAAAGGAAATGTGGAATTTTGAAATCCCATTAATTGTCATGGCCGTCGAGAGAGTACGTCCAATTTGGGCCAAGTGTTATAAAATGACCTTTAGGTTTCTTCTTTTTTGCCCCTGGTAGCCTTGCTGCTAGCCCGTCTGGGTCGATATCAAACAACAGATTGTGCACCAAATCCCTTGGAACTTTCATTTTATGCTTTTGGTGTATTTTCTGTGTCATTGCTCGATATCCTAGGAGTTTCCTGGGTCCTTCAAGTTCTTTGCGAACGGCCTCCCTGGCATCATCAATACAAACATTTGCATCAATATATTTAATATCAAAATATCTAAGTTTGCGATCAAGTGATCGTAAACTCCGCTTGTAGTTTGGATAGTCTCTTTGCATGAAATCTAGAATTTCAGTACGCTGCATACGTTCTTCCACATACTTAACTAAACACACTTTTAAAGTTAGATTCTCTTTCCAATATTTGACGCTGTTCAATTTCGCATACCGCTAGCTGGCTGATACGAAGGCGCAAATTTAAAAAAAAGGCAATTGGCAGTTCTTGGCCACGTGGATAATTTCTTTTTTTTAAACACACAAATGAATAGTGTTTGTTTTAATTTAAAAACATTTTTATTGGAGAATTATATAAAAATGATTTTGAAATCAGTTTAAAATGTATTGTAAAATGTTTTTAATATTATTTTAAATTGAAAACAGACTTGGTAGCTCTCGACCACCATAGACATGCCCTCTTGGTTGGACCAATGTTTATCTGCCCTATTACCTGTGGTCAGAATGGTTGCATGCGGACATTTCGTTATTCCTACACCCTAATAAGACACATTGAAAGTACTCATGATAATGCTGATGTTGAAAATGGTAATGGTTTTCCAATGGTGGATAATAATGCTGGAGATGATTACCCTATTCCACATTTAAACTCTATGGATCCAGAACAACATGGGCAACAAGACCTTGATGAACAGGATGTGAGAACGTCAGCTGCAACATTTGTGGCTAAGATGAAAGCATCAAGCAGCATGGTACAGTCAACTGTTGACAATGTTGTTACTGAAGCGTCACGTTTATTTTCTGATATTATTGGCACGTTGAAATCTAAAACGGAACTTTTCTTAAAAGTAAAAATATTGGGGAGGACGATATAGAGAGAGAAAACCTACTTCAGGTTTTTTATCAATTTCAGAACCATTTTGCCCAATTAGAAACATCCCACCAACAACAGAAGTACTTTACCCAAAGTGGTTATTTCATTAAGCCTTGTGAAATTCTGTTGGGCATTGAGTATCACCCCCGTAACAACCCAAACACAGGACATGTAGATCAGGTTGCCAAGCACGCTACGTTTCAATACATTCCATTACATGAACTTCTGAAAGCCGTTCTGGTAAGTAAGGGATTCATGAGAACAATTCTACAAAATCCATTAAGCAATGATGACATTATGCGAGATTTTCACGATGGATTGTTTTGTAGAGAACACGGTTTCTTTTCAGATCCAAGGAACATCAGATTACTGTTGTATGTGGATGAGTGCGAGATAGCCAACCCACTAGGATCAAAGGCAGGATTGCATAAAATTGGTGTTATTTACTGTACTATCCTGAATCTTTCGCCCAGATTTCATTGCTCTCTCTGCAACTGCTTTCTTATCTCAATGTTTAACAGTGATGTCAAGATGTATGGCTATGACCTTATCTTGCAACCTCTTGTGAATGACATTCAATCGCTTGAACAAGATGGTCTTTCTATTGCTACTGATATCTTTGAAGGAACAGTCAAAGTTAGCATCGCTCAAGTTGCAGGTGACAACTTGGGAGTAAATGGGATTTTGGGATATCTTGAAAGTTTTGTGAGTAATCATTTTTTGTAGACATTGTGGACTGCATAGACACAAGTTGCGACTTGCTTTATCTGCGCAAGTTGATCAACTACGAAATGTCCAGAACTATGAAGAGGACTTACATCGCAACAATGCAACTGATACTGGAATAAAAGCCCCCTGCTTATTGAATGATGTCGAAAATTTTCATATTTCCACCAACTATGCACCAGACGTGATGCATGACCTGTTGTAAGGTGTGTGTGGCTTAGAGGTCCACCTAGTTTTGGCAGCTTTAATTGATGAAGGATTATTTGACCTGGACTTGTTAAACAGCAGGATTATGAGTTTTGATTACTCCCCTGCAGATTGCAAGAACAAACCATCACCCATTACCATCCAGAAACTACAGAATCCCGACGGTGCATCAGGGCAGACGGCATCACAGATGTGGTGTCTTGTTCGATACCTGCCACTAATAATTGGCGACAAAGTGCCTGAAGGACATGAATATTTTGAGGTTATCCTCCTTCTGCTGGAATGCATGGACTTCATATTTTCTACTGAAATCACGACTGAGGAGACATATTTCTTAAAACAGCTGGAAAGATCAGATTTTTTAAGCCGGGCATTGGGGATTAACCTGTTTGAAGAAGTGTATGTGGCTCCATGGTGCATTGTTCACAGAATCAAGTATTGGAAAAACCTCCTGGTCATAGCTGGAAAGTCAGATGACTCAACACCGATTTTTCAGCAGATTATTTACGTTATCGTTACTGATGTAACTAAAGTAAAATTAATCACCAAAGAATGGCACACTGTTAAATACAACAGGCACACCCATACATATGCAATTCAGCGACCTTCCACGTCATCGTGGTCCGTTTTTTTACTAGAAGACTTGTACGATTACTATCCTTACCATGCATTGAAATCATACAATGATCGTAACCCACTAAGCTATGTTGTGATGCATCACAGGGTTCATTAACTGTTACTCTGTTGCTACTGTGTAAATAGAAAATTTGTTATGTCTCGTTAAATTCTTTTTGACCAGGGCCCTGTGTTATGGTAAAATAATCATCTGGCATCAGACAGATTACTATAGGTATTAAGATTAAGAAAAGTACAGTAGTTATTTTTCTTACGCCTCGAAGTTCAAACTTAATATGGACCTTCATCAAGGCATTACTTTGTAGTTACGCATTAATTACCAGATAGCCCCCCTGTTACCAGAAAGCCCTAAAGTTGAAATGTTGATGGTAGTGCCTTTCAGGCTAATTTTAATTTGCTTTACTTCTAATTTCAGGCATCTACAAGCACAGATGATAATTTAGATTTAAGTTCTCTGGACGTGAGCAACTCTTCAACCTCCTTTGAGTCAAAAACTTTAAAAAGACCTCTTTCTTCAGGCAAACAAGAAACAGAAACCTTTGAAAGCAGCAAAAAGACGAAATACGGTTTTGTAAGTGTAAGTTTCACAAAGTGAGTTGCATCTTGTACTACTAGGTGACGTATTCTTTCATTAAACCCCCGAGGGGCTTATTCTTTTTTTGTTTTGGTGTAAATAGGTAATGGGACAAGTACTGGTGTGAGACATTGTGTAACCTAAATAATTATAGGACCAGTATTCAAATTTATTGTTATTTACTTCAATTTCAATAGTATGAACTGCATATATGTGATGAGTTATGGCAATAACGATTATAAAAACTGAAGGAGGGGTGAATTGATTAATTGGAAACGGTAAGTCGAGAGATAAAGGAGAGAAAAGGAAAGGCAACCCTGTACACGTTTCAACCTAACAGTCTTCTTCAGCAGGGTTTTTTAAGAGGGGTGTAGGTAGAATTTGCAGAGGAGAATGAAGGAGAGTTTAAGAGTTAGAATAACGAATGGCACAGTAACAAAAAAGAAGGCTGGAAAGATAGTGAGAAATGAAAAAACTACTACATGTTAAAAGAAAAGTTATCCTACCAAATGTCTTGTTATTGTGCGACATTCCAACACCACGCACCTTGCTGCTCATCTTTTGTTTAGTTTGATAAAGCAGAGTAATAATATAGTCCTTTCAAATGTAGCTTACTCAATAGTATAGTGAGTATGAATGATGTGATGGTAGGGGTGGGGTAGGATTGATATCATAGTGTGATCATGTGACTAAAGGTGATTGCATTCTAATATGGTGAAGGGAGCTAATTAGACAGGGATGGGGAGGTATCACAATAAGAGGTGATTAGTGAGGAATAATAAAATAAATAAATAAATAACTAGAGGGCACTCAGAGACTGCATACCTCCGCCTACGCGCAAAATATTGAAGTAATCTATTGTTATTAGAATTTGAATAGCTGGTACATATATTATGCACGTCCTAATTACGCATTCAGTATAAAGTTTTATTTAATTGACCGGGAAAATCAAGACAAACTTTTCTTATTTCTCATTCAATTTTTAACCAAATTCAACCAAATTTTAATCAGTTCTTCTTTAGCCGATGGGAAATGCACTCACAAAATTTCGTACGGATATGTTTGGTATTTCTCGAGTTATCATGCTCACAGACAAACACACACACACAGACACACACACACACACATACAAACCCAGATGATTACATAACCTCCTGGCGGAGGTAATGATTACATAACCTCCTGGCGGAGGTAATTACACCGTGCAGGGTTTATTCTTATAGATTTATGAGTACACATTAACCAAAAAACATGTACATATATAACAAAGCCAAACAAGGATGATGAATATAATGGAATGATATTATATGTCCAATCGTTATCTATAGTAGGTCTTAATTTGTCATGTGGAGTAATCAAGTTATCCATCATTATATTTACAAAGTATACTATTAAAACATGACAAGTATGTTCGTGTTACTTGTACAAGGAACCAATGATCATATGAAAATAAATAGGGACTGGGAATAAGTTGGTGCATTAATCGCTGATTATAACTAAAAAATTCTACATAGGACGTGTATGACGCCCAAGGTATAAGATGCATGTTGACATGCATAGAGGATTTGAATTAGGTAAAGGAATTATAACTATTGCTATTAGCCATCCAAACATATTAGGTACATGCATGTCCAAAAACATCACGCTGTTTTGATAGTCCAACTGTATGTAATTAAAAAGGTTGACCAACTGTGCAGCGTTTTTAGGCCCTTTTAAAGAGTGGGTAAGGCATAGATATCTTATATAGACTAGATAGCACATCTCCTTTAGTAAAATTGAAGTAAAAAATATTCCAGCAGTTACCCCCATTTGAATAGATGTCGGCCATGTTGGTGTTTCCCACTCGCTAATAAACGCTAAAAAAACAACAATAACTTTCAGCATTTGAATAGTTTAAAAATGTATTTGGAATAGGTTTACCTTAATATTTAAGTTCTGTGTTTAAGAAATAATAGAAAACATACAAATATTCTCATTTCATGGGAATATCCTGAGTCTGCAATCACAGCTTCAATTTTTGAATTGTAGAAAAATTAGATGCACTATCTAGTGTATATACAGTACCGGTCGCGTATATATCTTAACCACACACGTATCATATGCATAGCATATCACATGAATATGCGTATCATATGCGTATCATATGAATACGCGTATCATACAAATACGTGTATGATATCAATGAATACGCGTATGCAATCATACACGTAGCGTATCATATGAATATGCGTGTCGACGTATCAACTACGGTCGAAAGTACATTTTGATACTCGCATATACGCGTATCAAACATAAATACAATAGGTGTGTATGTAACAATTACAATTTCACTAAACCTAGGATAGATGCCCTAAACATAGGATAGATGCTTATAAGATATTAAATTTGTAAGCATTTACTATTTTCTATACTATTTATATGTGGCAAACACGTGCAAGTGACAACAGATTTGAAGCTATAATTGCTAATCGTGACAACCGACAGACTCAGGTCAAGACAAAACAACGATAAAATATAAATTATTCTCTTTATCAATACGTGTTTCTAATTTATGTTTATTTGTAGTAGTGTATGGTGAAACCAAAACAATATTGAAATTATTGCAATATTGCAATACTATATTATTTACATCTTTAATAGTTTCAGTATGTTTCATTGTGGAACGCTCAAACGGTCATGCATGTTTTAAAAAGCCAAATCACCACCTTATTTACTAATTTACATTTAATTCAAATAAAAATTACGGGATACGCGCATATATTAGGATATACGGGAATAATAATATGGTAAGCTTATATACTGCAGTATATCCCAATATACCATGTGTCTGGTCCGATATACGCGCGTATTGCGTTAATGATGTGCGCGTATCAGATGTCTATACATTTACTGAATTTAATACACAATAACGCAAAGCCGAAGAGACATATATTCTATTTACTGGTCATCACTTATAAGAACGAAGTCAAAGATGTCAGGCAAGAGAATTCCGCCGTATGCAAAGGAACAAATTTTAATGTTAAGCAAGAAGGGCAAAAACTATTCGGAGATAAGCAGAGAATTAGAGTTGTATGGATGTCCGGTGAGCAGACAAACAATCTCGGCTTTTGTCAAGCATTCCATTAACGAGCGAACAGATCTGAAGCCTGCAGTTAAAGAACGTAAATGTAAAAGGGTGCTAAAAATCGAGCACTTTGAATATATCGATAATGAAATGGCTAAAAACGACAAACTATGTGCCGTAGGTAAGAACACTTTGTTGTTTTGTTGATTGCCAATATAGTATACCGTGTCATATGGAATACAAAGACTACAAAGTGATATAAATAATTCTAGATGCATGGTGTTGTTTAGCATTAATAATACTATGTTAGATATAGCTATGATGTCAGGTTATTCTATGACTATAATCTAGCCGTGTCATGTAAATCAGTATGACCTGGTTACTGCCAGATTATGCATTCTGTAAACTAGGCAGGATCAAAAGGGGGCCGAAGTATTGTCAGTTGGTGAAAGAAAAAGACAAGGACAAGGAAAAAGTAGAAGTGCCAGACGCCGGCAAAAAAATAAATTGAAGCGTCAAGCTGCTGCTACAATTGTAAAGGACTTAATTAAAGAGCCTACTTTTGCCTGGAAGCAAGTAGGACCGAGGATAATTTTGCAGATGTGATATTCACTGATGAGTGTTCGGTCTGGATGGAGACACATGCGAAAATTTGTTTTCGGCGAATTGGGGAACTGCCGAAGCACAAACCGAAAGTAAAACATCCCTACAAAATTCATGTTTGGGCAGGGATCAGTACACGTGGTGCAAGCGACATCCTTTTGTTTACCGGAATTATGAGGAAAGAGTTTTACGTGGACAAAATTCTGCGTGGCCAGCTTGTACCGTTCATCAAGGAATGTTTCCCCAATGGAAATTATAGATTTCAACAAGACAATGATCCAAAGCATAAAAGTAAGTGTAGCTTTTTAAGATTTGCGCTGATCTCATCATATTCCACGATTTGCTAAGTCATTTTATATATCGTTTTAGGTCACCTTGCTGTTGACTTCTTAAAGAATGAGAAAGTTATTTATTGGCCAACTCCACCTGAAAGTCCAGACCTTAACCCGATCGAGTGTGTATGGCATGAGATGAAGCATTATCTGCGAAAGTATGCAAAACCGAAAACAAAAGCTGAGTTGGAACAAGGCATTTACGATTTTTGGACTACCATGACGGCAGCCAAATGTTCCAAGTATATTGGTCACTTAGAAAAGTTATTCCTGAAATAATAAAACGAAACGGCCGAGCATCAGGATTTTGATCAATTAATGTTTTGCATGTATATTAATATATTCCAACTTTTTTGTATATAGCTATAATGTTATGATACGATTTAGTACTTAAAGTCAAAAAACAATTTCAGATAAAAGAGCCAGGTTTCTTTTGTGTATATATTGTCCATTGATTAACTGTAGACGTAGTATAAATCATCCCCTCGCAACTAATTTGGTTTTGCGTTCCTTCTTATATTGACTGCATGCATGCATGGGTTTACATTTTTGAAGTTTCTATATGATCACTGCAGTGACCTACAGTATGAAACTGATTCAACACCTTTGAATGAAAATCGTTTCTTCGAAAGAGGGTTACATGCACTGTCATACGCACACTTTCATTGAGGGTAGGCTGTTGCGGTATTTGAAAAAAAAACACCCAAAACCGATACCGGAAAAATACCGATATATCGATATTTTTCGCGATTGTATTTTGCATTTATGCATTCGGAACAAATCTCACCAGATAAACAATGTCCAATGAGGTTAGTTTTTGTTTTTCTAAAACACTTGTAATCCACCGTTGTTTATGTTACCGGAAAAAAAATACTGAAAAATGAAGCGCGAGATGACATACCTTGCTTGCAACGCCAAGCCCAAGGTATAAACAAACACGTTTTAGATCTCGCTCTAACCTTAATTTACGGATTTTACCGCGGAGTTAACACATTGATCGTCTTTTACCCTTATGAAATAACTCCAATCAGCGTTTGAAAAAGCTTGAGATGACGTTTAAATATACAAACGTAAACGTGATATCGATAATACCGAAAAATATCGATATTCCAATATATCGAAAATTTCAACATCGAGTAATCGGTATTTATAAAAAACGATAATTATCGGTATATCGATATACCGCAACAACCTAATTGAGGGACACTTCAGCGTTGATACAGTAGATGTTATGGTATAGATCGGTGTTGTTCGGAATATATCACTGTTTTCATTTCGAAGTTCCATTTTTTTATTTCAATTTATAAAACATTTAAATGACTTATTTCTGTAATGTGGCTGCACACCCCCATGCAGGTCATTATATATGGTCATTAACCATGTTATTGCAAAATCTTTGGCAATAACATGGTAACAATCAATTTTTTTTAATCAAAACAAAAACAAATGGCCGTCATCATATGCTGAAAATAGATCCTTTGTTTTGCCTCATCGAAACAGAACATAAAAAGGGACGAGAAAGCGTGTCTTTGTTACTTTTGTAGCAGTAGTCTCCAACACACAGTCGTACACTCAAAGCTATAGCACTTCACTCACTTCAAGTTAAGATGTTTTGTCGATTGACAAAGACCGTGCCTAAACAGTGTTTGGTGTATTTTACCATCGACGACACCACTGCTGTTGTGCCAACTAAGAAAATTATTATGGTCGAAGGTGCAAGGCCAATCACCAAGGGAGAGAAAGTTATGGTAACCTGGAATGGACAAGGGCATGAAGCCTATATTTTGGAACTTTCTGGTAAGCACAAAGCCATACTTTTTTATATACGTACCTACGCACAATGAATTCGATTCAGCATTTTACATATATGCACTCGAGCCCATAGCTTACGCTAGCTAGGCTCATGAGTTACAGTTTACTTACTTTTATTATATATAAAGTAGTGCTTTATAGAGATTTCGAGCACTGATAAAAGTGATAATCTCACATGTGAAATTATTCATGATAATCTCATATGTAAAAATTATCGGTTTTCAATTATTGCTTTTCTGTAAAATTGTCGCTTTTCAAAGACTGTCCTTTATATAATAAACATGGTTGTGGCATTATTCTTGGTGGTGATTTCAATCATCTAAACATTAACCGTATTTTATATCAGTTTAAAATGAAGCAGCTTGTCAAGATCAATACCAGAGGCAATAATATATTGGACCTAATCATAACTAACATTCCCCAATATTATGAAAAGGATAATCTACAATCTTTTCCCCCTTTCGGATTGTCGGATCACAATGTCTTGTTGTTAACCCCAAAGGATAGACCTACTTCTGCCAACCGTAGAAAAACGATTTTAAAGAGAAATTTAAGTGTAGCTCGGAAAAATGAACTTGGTCGATATTTGAGCTCAATAAACTAGGACATAGTAGATTCAGGAAAAACCTGTGAAGAAAAACTCTCTTTTCTAGAGGACATTATCAAAATCGGATTGGATTTTATTATGCCAATTGGTAAAGTGAAGGTTCATCCTAAGAATGCCCCCTGGGTCACACCTAATTTTGTTTACTTAATCAAATGTAGACAAAAGGCTTTTAGAGACCAGGACAATACCTCTTTCCGACATTATCGCAATCTCGTAAACCAAGAGAGGAAAAAATTACGGGGTAACTATTTTTCCTGTAAAGTTAGGAATCTTAAGAATGCAAAGCCATCTGCCTGGTGGAAGGAATTGAAACAACTGTCTGGTATGCAAACCCCTACACAATCCGAGAATTTTATTTCTCAATTACATATTGACAACATCGATAAAGAGAATTTATTGGATATTGCAAACAGAATCAATTCAGCGTTTGTGGAACCTATGCAAGAATATCAACCTCTCCAATATATATGCTATACCACTGACTATGAGTTCACAAATGACTATGAGTTCACAAATATTACAGAATTCTCAACATATAACATCCTCAAAAAACTTAATGCTCGGAAAGCCACTGGCCCCGATGGAATTTCCAACTGGATCCTAAAAGATTATGCTGAAATCCTTGCAAAACCTGTTTGCTCTGTCTTAAGTAGCTCATATAAGGAGCAGAGGTTACCATCATCGTGGAAATATGCAGATGTCACTCCACTTCCGAAACAAAAGCCAATTATGGATATAAACAAACACTTGCGACCAATTTCCTTAACATCTTGCATTTCCAAAGTTGGTGAAGAATTTATCGTTTCCAACTACATAGCACCTGCAATCCTGAAAATCATTGATCCCAACCAATATGGTGCTATTCCAAAATCATCAACCACCCAAGCCTTAATCTCGATGATTCATCAATGGTCCAAAGCTACGGACAGTTCAGGCGCTGCAGTAAGAGTCATATTATATGACTATAGAAAGGCTTTTGATCTTATCGATCATAACATTCTAATCAAGAAAATTAATGATCTACCAATCCCCCGTAAAGTTGCTTGCTGGGTTGTAGACTTCCTAATGAATAGATTCCAAAGGGTCAAATTGTCTAATGTTTATTCAGACTGGGAAAGAGTACCATCTGGAGTGCCTCAAGGCACAAAACTAGGCCCTTGGATATTCTTATTAATGATAAATGACCTCCGGCTAGATGGCATAGATACATGGAAATACATCGACGACACCTCTACATCAGAGATTATTCAAAAAGGCACGGATAGTAATATCCAACTTAGTTCCTCTGAACTCCAGGAGTGGTCTTTACAAAATAGATTCCAATTAAATTCAAGCAAGTGCAAAGAATTAAGAATTGACTTCAAACGGGAAAAGCAACAATTTAATCCTGTTATGTTTGACCACTTCAACCGGTTGAAGTGGTCAAACATGCTAAACTACTGGGTCTTACTATTTCCAGCTCCTTGAAATGGAACATGCACATCGAGGATACCATAAAGAAAGCGAACAAACGTTTGTATTGCTTAGTACAATTGAAACGAGCAAAAGTCCCAGAAAAAGAAATTGTGCAATTTTACTGTACTTGTATTAGGCCCGTATTGGAATATGCAGTGCCAGTCTTCCATCACTCTCTACCACAGTATCTGGCAGATGATTTAGAACGTGTCCAGCAAAGATCAGTGGGAATTATATTTAAATGCGAAAAGTATAATAAATGCTTAGAGTATTCTGGCCTAGAAACTTTAGTCAATCGAAGGCAAATGTTATGTTTGAAGCTGTTTGATTCGATAACATCAAACTCAGAACACAAACTTTATAAACTTTTACCCCCAAAGAAGAAGCAGACATATAATCTGAGACACAAACGTTCCTTTAGTTCTCTTTTAGCACGTACTAAGCGTTTCAAGAACACTTTTATACCACATATGTTAAATAGTAAATAATGTCAATTGCACCTTGTATCCTGTCACCAATTGTAAATATTTATATAACCTACACCATTCTTGTACATATTACGTAAACATCTACGCAATTCAGCTTCAGCTGCAAAGTAGTTTTAATAAACATCTATCTATCTATCTATCTACTTCTGACAAAAATTAAGTAAAGTGCCATGTTATATGGTTACTCACTGTATTGATACTTGAATGTTGTCTCGCGTATTCAAAAATCAATTGTTTCAATATACTAATGGAATATCATTCTAAGGGGTATTGGACACTACTAGAAGGGGGGCACACCCCCTGCACCTTTCCCAGTGGAAAAATATTTGTTATTATTTAGAAATTCTGTAACCATTATTATATAGGCTACAGTAATTGGTGTTGGGAAGGCTCCTCGACCGCCACTCTCCCCAGTAGGAAATATACCATTGCCTACGACTGCAAGTACACCTGCAATGGAAGAAAATCTCCATCCGACAATACCATCTACACCAAATGCCAGCAACACTCTCTGTGGTGTACAAAATATCGCTCTTGGTGGGATAACCAACGCTAGCCAAGATCTGATAGTCCCTTCGACACCAGATGTCCGCAACTACACTCTTCTTGATTTGGACAGTATCGTTAGCGAAGATCTGGCTCCTTTAATGACGACACCAAGTATTGCTCATGGTGGGATAACGAATGCTAGCGAAGAACTGATAGTGCCTTCGACACCAAATGCCAGCAACTGCACTCTCTCTGATTTGGACAGCATCGTTCCTGGTGGTACTCCTGTCACGACGAACTACTGCACATATCGTAATTTGGACGTTCCCCAGTTCTTATCTTCCTCTTTTTCAGATCCACTTCTGTATCCCTCATCATCCAATAATCCTGTTCCTTTCAAACAAAATCGAAGCGATCCTAGAATCGACGAAATCATGAATAACTAAAAAATGATCATGAGCAGCCTGAACTCGTTGACTGGACTTGTGAAGCAGTTAATCCAGCAGCAACATACCAACATTCTGCTACGCCGTAATGAAATTGTTGGCGACGGTGGTCAAGTTGTTGCCACTGTTGGTACATCATACCAGGAATCGGAAGAAGATAACAATATTTTGCCATCAACTGTCCCCGAAAACTCTGCAACCGACATGCCATTATCCCAACCGCCGCCATCGTCAGACTTAGTAAGCAATGACGAATTGGCAGCAATCAAACTTAAAAGCTCTGGCCCAACAGCTTTCGCCGGTGTTTTATTCAGAAATCTATTCACTTTGGGCGAAATGAAAGGACGAAATTGTCGTGGTTTGGCGAAGAAAGGAAAGCTTAACGAAGAAAAACTCAACAAAATACAGGAATATGTGTACAAATACTATCCGGATACGCCTGAGCAGTTAAGTCTTACATGGGCACATTGTACCCAAACCATTGACTCCTATATAAGAAATGAGCAGCACAAAGCTAAAAACATTTAATTAAGTATTATATAAATCTTGTAATTAAGCGTTTCTTCTATTTCTGTATAAATATTGTTGGTCATGTATATACCGATATTGTTAAAATATTTTACGAAAACATTCAATGGTGATTTTCAGTCTCGTTTACCCCTCGGAAAAGTTTGAAAAATCAATAGTTGCATCCACATTTCTGTTCTTGTTGTAAATACTAATTCCTGAAGTCGATTTAAAGTAAAGTTACAGGATTCGAAATAAAGCGTATCACGGACTGTCGTGTCTGCTTTTATAGCCTGCGTTTCCAGTCCATTCCTTCGATAATTGTCTATGATTAGTGTCTCTGAATTCACTACAAAAATGCAACATCAGTTTCAAGAATAAATATTCACTTGCTTTTCGAAAACGAAATATTTAAGTTAAAGTGCCTATGCGACAATTTTTTATAATTGAATTGCAAAGTTCATTTAAAATCATAATATAACTTGTTTTCTAAAACTTTGTAAATTTTCCTGTATGTCAAGATTTTCGACTTTGCTTGATATACAAATGTGACTTAAATGACGTCACACTGCATAATTCGTTTTACAGAAGAAATAAGCAGCACAAAGCTAAAAACATTTAATTAAGTATTATATAAATGTTGTAATTAAGCGTTTCTTCTATTTCTGTATAAATATTGTTGGTCATGTATATACCTATATTGTTAAAATATTTTACGAAAACATTCAATGGTGATTTTCAGTCTCGTTTACCCCTCGGAAAAGTTTGAAAAATCAATAGTTGCATCCACATTTCTGTTCTTGTTGTAAATACTAATTCCTGAAGTCGATTTAAAGTAAAGTTACAGGATTCGAAATAAAGCGTATCACGGACTGTGTCGTGTCTGCTTTTATAGCCTGCGTTTCCAGTCCGTTCCTTCGATAATTGTCTATGATTAGTGTCTCTGAATTCACTACAAAAATGCAACATCAGTTTCAAGAATAAATATTCACTTGCTTTTCGAAAACGAAATATTTAAGTTAAAGTGCCTATGCGACAATTTTTTATGATTGAATTGCAAAGTTCATTTAAAATCATAATATAACTTGTTTTCTAAAACTTTGTAAATTTTCCTGTATGTCAAGATTTTCGACTTTGTTTGATATACAAATGTGACTTAAATGATGTCACACTGCATAATTCGTTTCACAGAAGACTGTGTTGTAGCTTGTTAAAATTCTCATTATCTCAAATTTACAGATGAATGATCGCTTAAATTAAGGGGGTCTTCCACCCTAAAAACATTTTTTTCAATTTAAAGGTTTTATCATCATATTTGAGTCAAATATGACGGAATATCCTCAGCTGACGCAGGATCAGTAACTTTTACATTTGTTGTTGCCATAGTAACTAAGATAGGCCTCGCTATAGGGTAAAATATAGGGTTTGCTCCAAAAATGATGTGAGCCAAACTAATTTACCGAGGATTTTAAAAACAGCTTTAATGGACACTTAATACATCGATCTATGTCATGAACCTAAAAAATATACAAGTAATATAATAACGCCTTCATATTTTACTTTTTTAAAATTATATGAAGAAAGGAGTTCTTATAAGGCTACTCTTGCAATGTATATTGCTGATATATGAAGTTTTTTAGGTCCATGACATGGCTATGGAACAAGCAAATAAACTCTGAAAATTTCGAACGAATTGATTCAGTATGAACAGTAGGAGAGTTTTTAGTATTTCGCAAAATGCTCATGTGAGAAAAGCAATTTTAAAGTTTTTGCATATATTAGAATAACTTAGATAGAACAATATAATTGAAAATGGAACAATAGACTAAACCAATCGCATATCTTTATCGCTCCGGGTAAAATCGTGGTTTTACCCTACGAAGGTGTAGAATTTGCTGGATTTCACTGGTTTACGGTACATGTTCGTTCTTAAAATTACACGGATTTTATAAAGAACGCTATAAAGACTACATTTTTACGTTTTTCTAAAAAATAATGAATATTGGAAAATTTGGGTGGAAGACCACCTTAATGATCACTTTGCATGGTAGCTCTTAAAGTATATCACTTTCAATGTCATGTTTGGCAAGGAAACGTTTTCTTTCTAAAAACTCATTATGCAGTGTGACGTTAAGTCACATTTGTATATCAAACAAAGTCGAAAAGAGGAAAGAATACAAAGTTTTAGAAAACAATTTAAGTTATATTATGATTTTAAATGAACTTTGCAATTCAATCATAAAAAAATTGTCGCATAGGCACTACAAGAAAACTCCGTTCAGGTAGTAAGTGCTCTCTTCGATACAATATAGAGCCGATTACGCTGCCGCTTAAGACACCATGCACGACATTTTAATTAGATATTCTATAGAATATAGGTCCTGAGGAAATTGTAACAGCGTTGTCTCCGTATCTACAAACAATCTGAAAGTAATGTTCACAAAACAGGTGATATCCCAAGTTATTTAATTAACAATTATTACTATTATCAGCACCTATACAATAGCAGACATTCCAACCTCCGAGTCCTCAAAACCGGGACACTTCCCAATTTTCCCATTTTACTTAAATAAACGCCTCCCTCGAATAAACGCCTCCCTCGAATAAATGCCACGCTTTTCCCATTGATGTGGTGTCTATTTGGGTTAGTGTTAAAATTGGCTGAGTTGAGTTTGAATTAAACAATAAATTCACAATGGATGTCAAAAACTAGTTTTATCACACTAACATTGAAACCTATAAGTAATATAACATCTTCTCAACAAGCTTTAATTTCATTGAAGTACTGTATATTGGCGAACTTGTTTCGCTTTACTACTAATCTTTTGAATTGTCAACTGTGATCCTCTCGTATTCAAGAGCCCGCGATTATTGCGCCCGCTTCTGTTACGCTGCTTTATTTGATGTAGCCCTGGCAAAATGAATATAGGAATTGAAAGCGAACGCTAAATTGTCAAAACAACGTATGTCACGAGAATTACAACGATCGGCGACAAACTCGGCAATTGTTTGGGGCAACTAGAAGCTCCCATTTCATTAATATGTATTGAACCAAACGAATTTCATTAATATTTGTCACACGAGCCTTATTTGAAGAATACAACTATTAAAATACTACAGAAACCGGGACAATAAGAAGAAAACCGGGACACCGGGACAACATAGTCCAAACCGGGACAGTCCCGGGTAAACCGGGACGGTTGGAATGTTTGCAATAGGTTGATGCTTATTGAATATTGTGTTGTATATAGCTTTGTTTAGAACTCCCAATATACGTGTATGTGCAGATTACCTGTATCGGAATTAATAGGCGAATTATAATAGCGTGTATATGATATGCGTACTTGCAGTGTGCTATATAAAACACATCTTTTATTACTTTTATAGCGCCCTAATATTTGTTTGTAATGCGTATTCGTATGATACGCGTATTTGTATGATACGCGTATTCGTATGATACGCGATATTCTATGATACGCGATATTCTATGATACGCGTATTCGTATGATACGCGTATGATACGCGTATCATATGTTAAGATATACGCAAGCGGTACTGATATATGTCTAATATAGATATAACCATCGGTTGTCAGGTGGTGAAGTACATTTATATTATATTTTTATTTATTACCTCAAACATGTCTGTCAAATGCATTTAAATATATTTAGCCAAATACTTTGAATTACGTTTCCCACATGAGAACCGTAATGTGAGATATAATATATTCATATTATATTGTTATTTATTACCTCAAACATGTCTGTCAAATGTGTTTAAATATATTCTGTCAAATACTTTGAATTACGTTTCCCACATGAGAACCGTAATGTGAGATATAATATTATATTTTTATATACATAGTTGGCCACAGTATATGTAAGTAATAATAAAATATAGCAACGTAGTATAAGCATCCTACACCGAATGACACCCTTCGACCATCACACACCATCTGACAACTATCTGACAACCATCTGACACACTTCGACCATCATACACAATCTTCATCTGACAACCCTTCCCTGTATAATCACCCTACATCATCATACACCATCTGACAACCATCTGACACATGCAAAGGGATGACCATCATACACCATCGTACACCATCTGACAACCCTTCCCTGTGTACAACCACCTTACACCATCATACACCATCTGACACACTTCGACCATCATACACCATCAGACATCAGATATCGATGCCTGTATTGCATGTACATTACTTGTATCTAAGAATCATTGAGTTCGAATAGTATAAACTTCATCTTACCCTAATTATTTATAATTCAGCGCATGCGCAAATAAATTCTTTCAAGCATGCATGCTTTACATGCTTGAACCTGACATTTTTGGACGGTTATTTTAAAATTGTTTACTTTTCTGCTGTATTTTGTATCCAGTTCACCAGTTATATAATATTTTGTTTTTGTTAGGGATGTTATGTTTGCCCCGGGGGTAGGGGGCTAGCTGTAACATGATTTTTGTCATTAAAATTTCCCCTGTAACCAGGGGCTTTGTTAATGTTTTGTTCCATCCTCTTAACAAAAGCCCCTGGGTGGTTTGGGAGTCGATCCCCGGGTTTACAAGCTCTATCTTGAAAGGTATTTTTCCATTGGAATATGTAAATGAACTCCGCTACTAGAATGGGTAGTTCAAATGTTAATGACTCTCTCAAGTCTTAGATAGGTGGGCCATGTGGTGGCCATGTACTTTCCAAAATTGTAAGTTTTTTTGTCTCATTGTTCACTTATTTTATCATGGAATACTTCGCTTGAGCTCTTTTAATAATATCTGCAAGATACTTTGCTATATTTTGTGAAATAAAAGCTATATTTTTAGGAGTTTATCTTTTTAAAACTGCATGCACAACAAAGTGTCACCAATGTGTTTATTCTCGTCTGACAAACAACCAAAGATGAAATACTTTATTTCACTCTTTTATAGCAATCTAAAATGCCTAAATATTAGATTATTCATTTTATTTGAGCATACATATTATATTTTTATACAATTGG